CTCAAATTCAATACGTTGCTTGACAAAAACAAGAATAAAGGGCTTTTTACTTTAAAAAGAAGAAAACTTGTATCATAAAAAAAAAATCTTTAAATTACAGTTTCTCTTTTCTGGTCCAATTTAAGTTGTTACATGGTTGCTAAATTCGTGCTGTAATCTCTGCTTACAAATTGCAGAATTATTTTTAAAAATAGAAGTAATTTTACTGCAGGGATCAACCTTACACTTCAAACCGTGTGTGCTGGAGGTAGCTGCTCTTGCACAGCTTTCAAACAACCATGCTCCCGTGTGCACACGGGGTGAGGTTTACAGTACCAGTTGCAATGAAGCTGATAGCAGTTTTACCAGAGATTTCAATGAGAACAAATTGAGTTAACATCAACATTTCAGAATGATAGCAAATTTAAGCTTTCTGAGGGTGCACCATCTCCTAAAACACCAGCCTTTCTCTTGCATTCTGGTCTGATCTATCTTCTCCTATAGAACTACAGACTCTGATAGGCCAGAAAGTTAGAAGCTAGTCAAAGAGAGAAATCTTGAAGATCTGTTTGCTTTGGGTTTTTTTTCCTCACAAAACAAATCATCAGAGGGAAAAATATGGAGCACTATGACCCCAAATTTAAATCTGGGGAACAGCAGTGATCACGGCACAGTTCTTCCCCCTTGAAGCACTTCCACAGCTTTATTACTACGGAAAGATGAACCTTATCCTGCAAAGTCTTTGTGCGTAATCTTTGGGTTCATGTTCTCTGTATCTTGCAGTGTGCAGCAGAAAAAGGAAACCTCGATCCCTGGGTCTCCATAGGGCACTGCAGAGCATACCCACTATCTTCCCCCACTCTAGCTAGAGTGTTTCTTTCCTTTCTCATCATTTCTAGCCCACCACTTCTCCCAGCTTGCTTTTCATCTGTCCCTGGCTATTTCTGCTTTGCTTGGTTAGTTATTTCTGCTTTCTCATCCCCTTCCCCATCACACCATGGTCCTACCCTCAGGCCCAGAGGTAGGTCACATCAATTTGGACAGGACAGAAGAAACCCTCAGAGGCCAGGATCTTGCTTTCTGCACTAACTGGTGATACTCGGCACCTATCAGCCCTCAGCTCAGGGAGTTTATCTCCAACCACCAGCCTGCCAGGAAAGGGGATAAAGAATGGAGGAAAATTTCCACGTCCCAGAGAAAGTCATCTGGACATCAAAGAACATCCCATTCACAAAACAGCAGCATCACTCTTGCCAGACTGGTGTGTCTGGTTAGCCTTGTGTTCAGTCCTTATGATAATACAGTATTTGGAAAGCAGACAGCTGGCACTGCTTTAACATCTTGCTCTTCAATCTTTCATAACAACAGTTCTACAGATATTACTCTTAACCTTTTCTCTGCACCGAGTCCAGCACTAAAATCTCTTTGGCTACTTAGAGGAAGCAAATCAAATGTTTTTTTTGTCAGTAACTTGCCCTGTAAGGGTGGGGAAAAGTATACTGCTAACATACTGCAGACACAGCATTCATCACGTGTACAGCAGTACACTGGTTACACTGAAAACCCTATCATATTTATTTCAGATGTTACTTGACTGTCGTAATGACTAAGAGACATCTGTATCCTATTAACACTTTATTTTTTACAGTTGCTTTTAGTTCAGCAGAAGTGTCTTAATAGAGAAGACTGGTACTCTTTTAGAAATAACATCAATAATGAAAGAATCCTTGGATGCAGAGAAAAACCAGCAAACACACTGGCAACAGAACTCACTGGAGTCGTAAGTTGTAACAGGAAATGACAGTGACTAGCTTTTGGGTGAGGGGAATTTTGTGTGAAAGAAATTAACTCTGGTACTCAAATTCCCATTAGGAAATATGTGTGCGTATATATATATATATATATATGAAAATATATATGAAATATATATGTATATTTAACCAGTGATTGATCTCCTTAAATGTTAATTCAGACTCTGGAGAATTTCATCTTAGCTGGGTAACTGATAAACCAGAAACAACCAAAAAAGCCCCCCCCCCCCCCCAAAAAAAAACAAAAATAAAAACAAACCACAACCAAAAAACCCTTCTGCAGGCTATTTAGCCTCGGTATTGACTAACCAGTAATTAAATACAGCTCTTTGCAGTAATCTTAATTATGGCTTCACTCCACCACAACTAAGAAGAGCCACATAATAAACTGAGAAGATTAGCCAATTCTAACTGTTGAAAAATGTGTATTTTTATTTTTGTGCATAGTTTTTCTGTGCATAAGAACACAAGTCTCACAAAGGAATCATAAAAAAAAAATAAAATCAAAGTATTCATGAATTTATGTATGAATTTATGTCATGACCAGGCAAATACTATAGTTCATTTTCCTTATATAAAGGAAGCAGCTTGGCCTAATGGCTTGCATAATAGGTCAAGCGTTTGGGACTTGGGGAAATGGGGATGTGTGCTAGAAATCAGTGTGAATTAGGTAGACCAGTAAACAAGCTTCATTAAATTACTCAGACTTATACCAGCTGACAATTCTGTTTTCTCAGCTGGCCACAGCCATGGATTAGCTGTGTAGTCTTGGTCTAGTAACACAGGCTCCACCTTTCATGGGAATTCAGGTCCACAGGAATCTATGTCTGGTTTCTTCAGCCCCATTGATCTCCTACAGAACTAGGGCTTCAAGTGTCCAAGTCACTTTCTGATAACGGGATTTGAGGAAGCTCAAAAAAAAGAAATAAAATTCAGAGGCCACAATTCAGCAAAATCCTTAAGCACAGGCTTGATTTTAAGCAGGTCATTAACTCTCATTGACTTCAGTATGACAGCATCACACATCTAAAGGCAAAAGCATTCTTATTGTGCCTCAGCAATTTACGGGCCCCCAATCCACTTGCAAGCCTAGTTCAGGCCCTCAGCGTACTTAGGCTCTTATCATCCTACTGAAGCTAATGCAGACCTCATTTCTTCGAAAAATCAATGAGACATATGCTCTATGACACAAATTCCTCAGGCCTAAAGCCAATAGCATGGCAGATGCCTAGATCCCTTGTAGAGCTGGCTTTCGGCACAGCAGAGATCCTGAGCTTTCTGAAGGGTATTGAGACTTAGGATCCCAGTGCTTGTTTCTTCCACATTTAAGAGTTTAATGTATGCTTGGGTGGTGGTTTTGTTTTTTTATTGTTTTTTTTTTTCTTCCCTTTGCTGCATGAGACTGCCAGATTCCTGCTCTCCATATCCCCTTCACAGTACCAGCTGTCCAGCTACACATGCATGGCCCCATCAGCATTGCCATCCTTTCCCCTGCATGTGCAGCAGCAGATGGATCCAGACGTGTTTTGAGTTAAGTCCATAACCGTAAGTTTTTTTTGCGGACTGCATGGATAAACATTTAAAGGCCCCTTCTGGTTATGTAAAAAGAAAGCTATTAAACATTTACTCTTTACTCTGTACTTAGAGCTGCAAAGCCGTATCACAGAATGTACAAACGTGTATGCAACCAGGCAATTACCATTCCTTTATCCCTTAAATAGGTAGAAGATAAATTTGAAAGAAAACAAGGAACAGAATCCTTCTCCCTTTCCTTTTTGTATCCTTTTATCTTTCAGTGTAGGAAGTTTACTGAACCCTTGCCAACAATTCACTCAGGCTAATGAAGTGTATAAGTAATGGGATTAAATAATCTTAAACCATTAGTATAGTGGCTAATGCAGATGTTTTCTGAAACTAAAGCAGATGAGTGGTGAAGAATGTGTGCTTGATTTAGAAAAAGAGGAAAAGACACTATCAATCTGCAAGCAGACAAACTCAATTCCAGCCTCAAGTCAGTGAAATGTTTAATTCCAGTTATATACAGTTGCTCTAATCATACTATAAATGAACCTTCCTGAAGTCTGCAGTGCTTTGCACATGGTCCAACTTGCTATGAAATTAACCTTAAATTTTTTATAGCGCAATTATTTTAGTGCAAACAAAAATGGAACTGGTTTAAAAGGTACATATTCCATCAAAAGATCATTTAGTTTTTAAAAGCCAATTAACAAAGCCCATGTATCACTGCCATTGTACATATTTCATCAAAGGCTCTGCAGAAACAGAAGGAATAATGGGATATCGGTGGCATTTTCAGACATACCTATTATTGCTTTAGCTACTATCAGAATGACAGAAAAGTCAAGAAAGGCAGCAATTTTTATTTTCAGAAGTGCAAATTCTGGAACTGTCTCAGGCCCAGTGTTTATAAAAAGAACTGTGAATTGGAGATTTAGAAAGAGAGATATCAACACTTTAAGAATGTTTCAGTGCTTTTCTTATTCTAAGTTACAATTACTATCCCTATATACTGTATGCTAAGGTCACACCAAGGTAAGGCCTCAGGCATGTTATGTGATGTTTCTTCAATTTGCAACTCTGTGACTGGTTCCAACTAGCTCTTAACGGGAGCCTCTTAAAAGGTGCAGCTCCTCAGAGCAACTGTTAATTGTTCACTTTAAAAGATTGTCATAGGCATGAAATGAAATTTGAGGGTAAGGTAAGCGTGAAAACATATCCAATCCAAAGACCCTTAGTTAGAAAGACTTCCATCAAACAATGCAAAAGTCTTGATTTTTAGAAGTTTCAATGCTTCCTTGCATCTCACCTCCTTAATATTAGTGGGCACCATAGCTTGTAAGCATTTTGGTTTCAGGTTTCCCAATACAGAAAGCTTCTGAAAACAACACTTATGCCTAAGATCACTATGTAGTCTGTTCCTTATTACAGAGCTCAAAGAATTACAAAAAGCACCTTTTTCCCCTGCTTTGGACACTTCATTTCTGAGATAGGTTAGACCAGGAAACAAAATTCACCCAGGGAACTGAAAAGATCAGTGTTCTTCTGAAGAGCATGGAAAAACTGATGCCAACGATACTGCCATGGGATTGTCAGTATTTAATGGTAAGGCAACTGTATGGCAGTAAAAGAAATCAATGTTTCCAATGTCTCTGTGTTAAAATCATGGTGCAAACAAGAATGGATACTTACAATATAGCAGGGTTCACAGTAGGCTTTCTTCTCCACTGCATAGAAAGGCTGACCTCTCAGCTTGCTGTTGCACTTCATGCAGGTGAAGCACTCCACGTGGAAGACCTGGTCCATGGCTGTACAGCCAGTCCCTTCTCCAACAACATTCTCCCCACAGCGGGCACAGCGGCCTGTCACCAAAGGGAAAGGACATAAGTCAAAACAAGCTCCTGGTCTCAGCTGCAGAAAAGGTACTCCCACATGCCTGTGCTACCCAATTGGTAAGTGGGACACAGAAGCTCAGTCAACAGAAGAGCAATTTGTACCACTGCTGGCAAAGATCCAGTGCTACTGAAGGTCACTCTGGTGCTGGACCACATGAAAAGATCTAGAAAGGCTTGAAACTGGCTCCCAAGCCTGCATTGATACCAGCTCTACTGCTGCTGCTAGCCAGTGATTATCATATGAAGTCTGAGCCCCAAATGCAAACCATTCAGCTATCATCTAACCAGGCTATCTAGTTGTCCTCAGCTCCTCAGATGGGATAAACCTGTGCCTAAAGCCTTGCCCCCACATGAAAGGATTTTGTGGTAGGATGCCTCATAAAGCTGCCTGGTGGCAGTGCAATTGTTACCATTTAAATAGTAGTTTTTGCTTGTACAGCTTAAACCAATTCTCTCAATGGAGCTAATTACTTTTTTTTCTGTTTGAAGATTACTATGGATTAAGATATTTTGCCTATTTAAAGCACAGAAGCTATTTCTCAAGAAACCAATTTAACTAATTTGTGGCTACTTTATTCTTATCATCCTTCAAGAAAGGTGTATCAGAAAATACTAGTAAGGACTCTAAGTAAAGACAAGCCACAAGATCTCTGCCTGTTTTTGGAAAAGGTCCTTAATGCTGCACACAAATATTTAAGACACAAAAAAATCTGCATGCACACAAGACATACAAAAGGCTTGCTGCCTTGTTCAGATTGCTGTTGAAGATGTTATATGGCAGATAGATTTAAAGTGAAGACAGAGTTTCAGAGAAAGATGGTTTCTTAGATCATGGAAAAGACATTTTCTCAGGGAAGACTGTGGTGCAGACATGATGGAAGACTGTGGGTGGAAGGCACACCTTTGCCATTTTCCCATGCCATTCATCTGAGTTCTAGAAAATGGAGATAGCCCATACCCAGCAATCAGTGTTGAAAATAATTCATGCGCAGAGTCATGGGAGGTATGTAGGCCAACCTCAGCCACTCTATGCAGGAGAGCCCTACCAAAGGCAATAGAGCAACCACAGTCTGGGTCTTTGTCCCACTCAAAATGGTATTCTGCAGTTTGAGAATAATTGTGCTGCCCAAAGTCTTGGGACCTGGCACTTCTTTTTCCAGGTTCTGTGAGTGGAGTGGTGTGGTCACTAAGGGTGGGAAGGAGAGGAACGGAAGTGAGAGCTTCCTTCCTGCAAGCAGGAAGGCAGACTGAGTTCCAAGTAAGAAGTACTTATAAATGGATATACACATAATAATTAAATAATCCAGCAACAATATGATGCTCTCTCAATATCATGGTGTTTACTGGTTTTGTCAAATACTGCAAAACTTCCTAAAAGGACTTGGATATGTTTCATCATCTCAACAGCAGGGCTGCTGTCCTTGAGCAGTGTACCATTGATGTCCCTCCACTCACGACTTCTTCCCTGCCTGTCCCAGACTCCAATAGGCTATATCCAGGGAACAAAGCATATAAGCTACTTTTGGATCCCTCAGGATGTGGCAGTATGATATATATACACATTTGAGATATATTAGGAAAGCTTGGAAAAGTACCCAGATCATTATGATTTGCTAGAACGGCATAACCGTAGTTGGCATTATACAGGACAGACAGTTCCTGACTCAAACAGTTCCCAGTCTGAGCAATGTGAAGGGAGAAATCACCAGATAAATCCACACGAGCCTGGAACCCCCTCCAGAGGAATGAATAATGTTGTATTTAAACTCATCTTTCTTTAGCATTTGTTATTAGCATTGTGATTGACAATGTTGCTCTTTAATAACTCGACTGAAATGCTTCTTGTGAGGACTCTTTTTTATGAGTCGAGAAGGAATGCAGGGTTCCCAGGATGGTGGTGAGGCTACAGAGCATGGGGGAAGAATGGAAAAACCATGAGGATTAGGAAGAAAACAACCAAACCACTGGAGAGAACCAGTAAGAGAGCAGTACTGCTTTGGGAAGGAGTGAGAGGAAACCTACTGTAGACTGTATACTGCATGTACAACAGGAGAGTACTGATCAGCCCTGTGTGTGGACAAGACAGAGTGTGCTCCAGGGCCTTCTTCAAACTGCTCTTGTAGCTGGGCTGTAATATGAAGAGATGTCTGGGGAGCAGTTAATATCTCTATATATAAAACATGAAATTGAAAGCCATTAGTGTATTACTTTACACAGTGTTTTTCCAGAGGGAATATTCCACTGAAGAATTTATTTTCCCTGGTGTGCTATTCTGTGATCATCCGGTATTATTTTTATGAGGCATTTGGACACAGAATAATGTAGTGTCTATGCAAACACTTCTCAGCTTTCTTTGTTAACATGTGAGAAGAACATGTGGGAATCTTTTCTTCCCCTCCTGCTCTTCTCACATTCATAATTTAGCCAGCTTTTGTATACTTCAACATTTATCCTCCTCTTTGACCAAGGCATCTCTCAATTTTTCTGGAGAAGCTATCTATATGTAGACTGTATTTCTGGTTGTACTTGCGTCAGGAGACCTGGGTCTGTTTCTGAACTCAAATACATACTCTTGTAATCTCTGGCAAATTACTTAGGACCTTTGTAACTCCATCCTCCCTTTGAGCAAAGACTTCTCTGCCTTCCAAAGATGCCCTTAGGCTACATTCCTGCATGGCCTTGAGGTCAACTACACTGCTGGTGGCCAGGTACAAACCAAAAAGCAGCACAACAGAAGTCCTGGCCAACTTCTCCCCTTGAAGGTGGTGTTTCCTTAGGCTTCCCTTCCTCTTTCTGGGTTTTTCCACAGAAGGTTCCCATTTAGGCAGCAATAGACTTAACCTCTGTATATTTATGAGAAGTCCAAATTCTGCTATTATGTACACTGACAGAAATGCTCCTATAAACTCTTGCATAGGAAAGATTAAAGAAAGTTTCCTTTTGTATATTTATATGCAAATTATAACACTGTGGCTTTCAGCAAACCATGTTTTTCATGAGACATGGCCATTCCACTGAGGATTGAAACACAAACTCTCTGCCAGCAACACCCCCAACTGACTCATTCACCTGAAGGGTAAAAGCAAGTAAGCCAAAATATGGAAATTTGGGAGCTTACAACTGTAAGCCACTGTAGATGGCTCGATGCATGCAAAGGCATGTGGGCAAATAGACAACTGATCTGACTTACAATGATGCAGCCCTTAAAGGCTCCACCTTCTGCAGATCTTGGTGCAACCTGGGAACTCACAAAACTGTGAAAGCTGGTCAATTCTCCCAGCATGTAACTCAAATTTGGCTGAAATAGGCAATTAGTTTCAAGAGTTGTTGGCGAGGAAGTAACTGACAAGCAGACAGGCACATGCACAAAGCAGTGCAATTGCAGAAGACTCATTTCCTTAGAAAACCAGAAAAAAAAAACCACTAAAAACAATGTATCTATCATTATATCTGATAAAAACAGAACAAAGGTTTGCTTTTCCTGTGTGCCAGCTACCAATGGTGAAGGTATTTGTGGCTGGTCTCATCACAGTTAAGTGCCCACACATGTTCCCCATTTTAATATTTTCACACTAGTTGAAATAACCCAGTTTGTTGTGTGCAGAATACCCATGAGTGAATACAGAACAAGTTGCACTGCTTATTGGGAAAGAAGTAGCAAAGGCAAAGCTTGCAAGACTCAAGAACAAACATATTGCACAAAAAAGATTACACAAATAATCTAAGAGAAAAATAGGCAGCGTATTACAGTAGAAACATAGAACAACATGACCCATTTGCTTCCCACAGAGACAAACAGCACTTAAAAGGCAGCTTAAAGACAAAAGACAAAATTAGTACTAAAATGCAAGAAGATGAAACTATGTCATTTCAACATTCTTCTTTTGCCCCTTCAGCCCTTTTTAGGTTCTTTTCCAAGATCACTTCAGCAAAACTAGAAGGTGATACACTGGCAGGAAGCCTGGGAGATTGAGTCCTCTATTTTTGCATGGAAGAGGTTCATAACCTTGGCCGTGACCTTCTTTCAGCCTAGCCTGTCTGACACATGTTGGTCTTACCTTGGGGGGACATACAGGGGTGCCCACAGAGGCTTCCCTGCTAAAACTGCTGGAAATGTCATCATTACTGAGTGGATCACAAGGAAACACTTCAGCAGCCAAAAGGAAACATCAGCTACTATACTTTATTCTGAAACCTCATTTACTGTCTTCTGTTGTATAAAAAATTGAAATATTGCAAATCTGAAGGAAGAGGGGGAAGGAAGGGGAGAAGCTCATATTGCACATGATGCCACATTCTAATTTTTCATTATTTTATTATTATTATTACATGGTATTTGCTTATACCATCACAGATCCTGGCTGCTCAGATTGCACAACAGCCCTGTTGTGCTGGGTACTGGAATTCACACAGAATTCAAAGAAGGGCCTGACTGCAGGAGCTCACAATCTAATACAAGCAATAACTGGGTATAGATAGGAAATACAAAGAAGCAATCAAACAAAACCAGTCAACAAGGAAAACTGTGGTCTCAGCACTCTAAATGTTTTATTATTGACAACAAGGCTCTAGACAGCCCAGCAAAGGAAACAGTTAAGGAAGAATTTGAAAGAGGATCCAGAGGGAGTTTGAGGGAAGTTTAACGGGATGCTTCTCATGAAAGCACAAAGACAGTACAAATGGGAATGCAAGTGCTTGAAGATTGAACATAGACACCTGCAGACAGGAAGGATGAGTTGTCATGTCACTAGAGAATACTAGAGGAAAAAAGGATGGGAACAGGTCATTACTGGCCATGCAAGTAAAGAAAGACGCTTCTGTTTGGTATGATGCAGAAATGAAACCAGAAGAGAGATTAAGAGACAGGAATGATCTGACCTTAGTTACAAGCAAGAGAGTGATTTCTGCAGCTGCAGTCTAGCTGAGCATGAACAGCGAGAAACTCATTTTTACAAAAGGATGCTGCA